ACACACACACACACACACACACACACACACACACACACACACACACACACACACACACACACACACTCATGAACGCACGCACAAATTTCCCTAGTATAGCCCGACGCGGCTGTGAGACGAAGTGTCTCTGCACGTGAACGCCGTAAATATCATCTACATGACCGTTCCTAGCCAAGCGCTTTCCGTGAAACATAGGTTCTTCTCAGGTTCCTCTTGTGTAGGTCTCAGGTGCCTCTCCTTGCGCGTGTACAGGTCACGGCACCACTATCACCGAGTAGCTAGGCTTCAAGCAAAAAGGTGCAAGCGCGGGGAACGTTACTTCGACGTCAACATAATTATGTCACTGCATGCATGTGTCGGCCGCTGATTGTTGTTGTTGTTTTTGTTGCCGCGATTCCTAGTTCGCGCGCGATTCCAATCGCGAGGTTTTATAGAGTGTTTACATGCTGGTAATGCAATCCCCACACGCGATGAAGCCACCTCACACAGTCGCGTTTTTGTAGAGCTGATTCACCAAGGATGTGTTGCAGTGTTTAGTTATTAGAGCGAGTTATTAAAACACTATTAACCTCTCGTTGTGAACGATCCCGCACCCTATCTCCACCCCCTGGACGGCAAAACAGAATTAGGATCTCGTAAGTGAGCCATTTATACGCCATGTTTTTCAAAGTGTACTCACTTTTCTTGTTTGCCGCGGGCTCAGCGGTAGATAAACATTCAGATCGTTCGGCCATGCTCACTTCTAAGGATAAATGTAGCCATGCGAACCTGTATAATTTTATTTGACGTTAGGTTGGAAGATGCTTTGACGATAGGTTGTTATGCGCGTTACGTTGTGCTGGTGTTAAAACAGGAAACTGCAGATCCAGTTATGTTTACAGTTACTCATTCAAATTCTCAGTCAAACTGTGAGATATCAGAAGTATAAATATCTAAATCGCGAATAGACGTAAAATTCTATGTGTACCGTGCAAATATATGGCAACGTGAAAAGCAAAAATTTACATTTCAGTGTGCATCGTGCACTGGTTAAAATTGCGTAGGCGGTATTATTATTATTATTATTATTATTATTGTTATTATTATACATATATATGTATAGAATATATATGTATTATGTATGTGTGTATGTATGCGTCGTAAGCGTGCGTACGACGGAAAGAGTCGTGTGGTGAGTATACGTGGCTGGTGGTCAGCCTCGTAAAAAACCATTACTACTTTTACCATTATTACTGTAAAAAATTACAGCACAAAAACGCAATGATCTGGTGAATGTGTGATGTTATACAGAGAGCTAATGTCCATCACGAGTGCAATTTTGATAACGCTTTTGTGATATCTCGCGTTCAAAGTGGCAATTAACGAGTGACGAGCGAGCGATTCGTGACGAAATATCTCATTAAAAATGCAGTCGCGAGCCCGATAGAAAATTTACTGCAAGATTCTTTATCATCGGCGCTGTGCGTAACTCCGCGGCAGCATGAATGCTGTGCTCTGCCGTGTATGCACACATTGATGCATGAAAGCCAGGTGCGTGCATAGCAGCCGTTCACAAGTATAGTACGTTAGCACGATAGAGTGGCGCCCTTTCGTGAGTTTACTTTGCCTGGTAATAGGAACGCATGAAATTGTGTGAAGAATAAACGTGTTAAATTGAAGCGTGCCTGATTTCAGTGCTTCCTCCAAAAATTGGTCAATGATTCATCACATATTCAGAGAAAATTACAATTATTATAAATTTCATATTTTTGGTTATAACATCGATGTACCTCGGTTGACAATCATACTTATTCAAACGTTTTTACTGTTTACGAAAAGACAATAGGTTGTCCCTCCTCAGTGGCGTAGCCAGGATTTTATAACAGGGGGGCAAAAACAGCAAACTGCGCAAAATAGTGGATGAATTAATATTGTAATGGTTCCTCCGCCTCCCTCTCCACACCCTACGATCCCCCACCTCGCCGCTCTGCAATCTTTGTTTTGGGCGCCACGCAAGAAGGCGACATTTTTGTTCGTTGTTCTCTGCTCCCAAGACATGTAACTGTAACCTGCTGTTTGTCTCCTTGTGAATATGAAATATCGACTATCATTTCAATCCCGTGATGAGGTCATTGCTATTGGTAATGGTTTTTGCAAAATTATAGTAGATAGAGGATCATCGTTACGTTTAATTATTACCTCACACGGTATGATTAATTTGCATTTTGATTTTAATTTGTATTTTAATCAAGTATCATATCTGTGCTTTACAGCCCCGTTCCTACTACTTCGTGTGGAAAAGGATCCTACAGCTACCGCTAGGGTCGCTAGTGTCAGGCTGCATATAAATTTCTTTGCTGAGGTCTCGCTATGTTGCCGTATAGATCTCTATAAAGTCTTGCTGCGTCTATTGTCCCTTAATAGTCGTCCCTTTATTTCCCTTTATAGATCTCTATAAAGGGACTCTACCCACATTCAACATCGAAAGTAATTGTATAGTTCCCGTGTGCTTGGGCGTCCGTGTTACTACGTTTGTCACAGTAAGGCTCGCACATGGCACAGCTAACACGATAGCGTGTCTATAGTGTGATTGTATATATAGAGACGAACGGAAACTAAGAAACTGTCTGGAACGAATGTAATAAACATGCATACATTAAATTATATACAGTACATCAATTGGTTTTAGGTATCTGATACCGAAGTAATACCAAACATTTACAGGATTTGCAGGACACTAGACGAAGAGTAGAACAAATTCGGATAATTGTATAAAAAATGCATAGCTGTTTTAAATCAGGTAATCTTCAAGTGGTGTGCGCATAAAAATAATTCTGTAGATTGTAAGTTGGTTTTGGCATTGAAAGCCACTTGTAAGCCGAGTATACAGATATAATATTCTGATTCAATCCCCGTTGATTTGTTGCCATTATACTACACGCTATTTGGCAGAGAGGATCTTATCGTTCTTAGAACTCTATACGTTTACAACTTTCATAAAGTTGGCTGCGTTTACATACATAATGCACATGTATAGATCAATCACAAGCTCCTCCTAGATAATGAATTAGTAGACCAGATATTCATGACGTACAACAGAGATATTTATAGTACGATGTATAGTCATCGGCATCGCGATACGATATGCATCGAGTATGTTCGATTGTGATGCGTTCTCTGATATTGAGTTAGCGTGAGGTGTATATATAGGCCTATAGCTAATGTATAGGCGGTATCTGAGGTTAGCATATTTAGCATAGACTTCTGATGGTCCGGTGAGCCCACTGGTCCGTCTTGGCTCTGGTCCCAAGAGTGCCGGAATATCATTGGTCAGCCTGTGCTGCTGAACATGAAGTCTAATATAACGATAAACGATTAGAGGGTTTATCGCTCTGTCACCGTCTTTTCTTTGAATAATTAAATATGTGCGCGTTGGAACGTGGATTATACGACTGTTAATTTATTCACCCAATCAGCCAATCAGCCAATTTATGCTGACATATGTTCTTGGAGTCAATAAATGTGAGAAGCGGTAGGTTCTACGCAGTTGCTACAGATGGTATTACTCTCTTCTTCCTCTTGACTGAAAAGTGTATTTCCATGAGTGTTTTTCATTTAAGAAAGCCAAGGTATAACCTTCTTTCGATAATGATGCATAACTAACGATGCGATCCTATGATTACGTACTATTGCGAAAATATCAGCGATGAAATGGTGACCTTTTTATTGTATAATTGTGGTTTTACACTAGCATAACAAGCACAAGGACATAGCTTAGTGCGCGCCTCAATTGTTGTTCCCGGAACGTCTTGCATCGCTCTATCTCATGATAATTCCAGCTCCACGTAGGCAACTGTGACAATTTTACATCATTATGTCTATCGTTCCATCGATCAGAGTTGCAAAGGCATCTATAAAGAGACAGGTCCCCATACTGCGCATGTTGGATAGATGCATGCAGGATTGGTTCTTATGTAGTTGACCTAGATACTGCTGGCAGTTAATCGTCAGGCCAACTAGGAGAACAGAAACATTTTAACTTGGAATTTGACGTTTAGTACGTTTTACATTTCAGGAACAACAAAACAGGAATCATCATCGAAATGCATGGAAAGCCTGTTTTGCTGTTGTTGTAGCGAGCCCGTGAAATCGCACGATCTGGTTCATTTAGGTTGTATTACAAGGATATCACCAAGAAAACCATTTGGTTTCTCGCACCCCCCTCCGAGTACGAATATTTTAGGCGTACATAATAACGCCGTAAATCTTTAAAGCTAGGTTACTAGTTTTACCATTTTACGTTACTTCGTTCTATCACATAAACGCAGCCTCCTATATACAGTGTTGTAATAGTATTGGTATAGCTATTATAAGCCAAAGACAGGCATTTCCATGGAGCGGTGTCAAGCTCTTTATTAGCATTCAAAGATGGCTATACATGGAATGCTTTCCAGCCCATGTGATCACCGGTTTACGCCTCGCACTATATTGTGGCGTATCACTACGCTAGTGCTTGTGAACGCATATCACCACAAGTGTAACGCATAAGTACATGTATGCGTGCGTGTACGTGTGTGTGTGCGCGCGTGCGTGTGAGTGTGTGCATCCCTTACGCTGTAGCAACGGTAAAAGTAATTTCAGCGACATCTGATTTACGTACCAACTTGGTACTCAATAATGTAGACATTTTACTGTAGAATACCAGCGTATTGAACAGATTTGTGTAACTCTAGGTTACACTCTGTACGTTTTCGATTTTTTTTTACACAGTCATTGATTAGATGTGTGTGCTGTTCTGTTTGACGAGATGAGCTGTAGATGTCCTTAATTATAGGCTGACTAAATTCAATGATATTCAGTTCGATCGAACGTTATTCTTAACCGCCACGGTCTAAAAATGGAGGAACTTCTATCTTTCCATTCGAGAAACATCCATTATCACCAAGGCCTACATATATGACCGTTCGTATACCTATGATTAATTGATTATATAGAAGAGGAGGGGGAGAGTGGGGCCACCTGCAAGAGGGAGAGAGTGTTAGTGCTATTTTGTAATTTTGAAATGGTGGCGGCGTGATAATATATGATTCTGTATTTACCGAGAATCACGGACTGTTACGCTAGATGTATTAGGTAAATAGTGCTGATTCCGATTGCATCCGCCCGTCCAGGTTTCTAGCAACCATCAATTTCTGCGGAATCGTAACTATAGGTATAACAACAGCTGTACGTGGCTTAAAGTAGTAAAGCACTCGTAGGGACAATTTAATGAAGATTAACGAATTGCGCAAGCGGGTATAATTTATACCGGACGTAGAGTTATCATACTTCTGATATTTTCATACCTGGCATCAGTCACTGAATAGTGGTGGGAAATTGCATAGGCTACATTTATTGCTATTAAGTAATTTGCGACAAGGGGTGGTGTCAACAGTATAAGCAGAACCGGAATAACAATATTTCAAATGTGATCATCCGGTGCTTCCGCAATTAACTAATAGCGTAATTGGTCATTATTATAATTCTTTATTGTACCACTGTATGATTCTGCTTAAAGATGAATTCCTTCGTAAACCTTTGCAACAAATCATAGTCGATACCCCGTATATATTAAACTTTACTATACATGATTGTTACCATTGAAATGGAAACTGTACAAGTCAGTAGCATGCCAGTTCTACCTCAAAGTAAATACCAACTCAAAAATCGAATTTCACAGAGGTTTGTGAGATGCCGGTAATCTGTGTACACACGCAAACACGTGCACGCACACGCACACGCACGCACGCACACATACACACACACACGCGCGCGTGCAGTTATTGGAGACGACACGACCTCTCAAGGAACGGCAAAAATTAAATTGCATGGATAGCATTCATTCCAATAGTTATACTTTCTAGACGAAACCTTGAAGGGAAGTGCAAGCGTACAACGCGTGAACGTTAATTTTAGACGAAATTTTTGTTTGGCAACGCGTACGCGTCTTTAAAACAGACGTTTGTTCACTAGGTATTTGCATGGAATTTTAACGGCACACCCGCGAAGCACTTGCGGGTTACATTACGAATAGCGATACACCACTATAATACCGCTGCCGTCGGAGAGTTTAGCCAACATTGTGATGCAGCTATCATAGTTACGTTGTGCGACCGGCCAATCTCATATCGAGAGCATTCACTGTGTTCGGAAACCCATCGCACACGTTTGCAAATGATCCGTAAATGACATCTTGACTATAGGTGCCATTAATGATTCTCTTTACCGACAACGTGGGAATTTGTTGTAGCGTAAATGCAGGATCGTAACGACGAGACATAACCCTCTGTGCGTCTGTAAAAGCAGCTCTATACCGAAAACGGCATTTCGATGGATGCATCCCACGAGACCGCGATATACTCATCTCATAAATAGCTCAGCAAAATGCAGCCGGCATTAGAGTAATTATCATCACGCATTTTAGCGTTTCCGTTAACCATATAAAGTTGTAATAACTATACCTTGTAATTTCAGTTTCATTGTTTGCAAAATGTTGCTTTTGTGTTGCTACTCGTAATGTGCTTCCTGGACGTAAGCATTATCAGTCAAAATCTGAAAATCTGAAATTGTTTGTAAACTTGAATTCCCGCGCTACTCCTATAATTATATATTATCTAACGCTGACAGAAGTACCCGTAAAGGATTTCGTAGTGCATCATTTATGCTCCCTACGGCGACATAAAAATAGACAGGCGCTAATGTTTTCAAGCGCAAGCAGCTCTAAAGTGTCACCTCTGAGGAGCCTCTCGCTGCATGCGAAGATGCAACATGTTCTGCTAGCATCTATGACAAATACGACATACGCATATATACGCTCTCCTATGACACTATTTGTCATAGGAAGATTCTTCCTATGCCAAATATTGGCGAGTCAACTTTGTTCCGCTTTACAGCTGAAATTCACTGCTTGCGTTCATGTTAGCGCTCCTAAACTCCTATGATGCGCACAATACATACAACAATATTTGTCATAGGAAGAATCTTCCTATGACAAATAGTGTCATAGGAGAGCGTATATGCGTATGTCGTATTTGTCATAGAAGCTAGCAGAACAGGCTGGAAAATGATACATCCTTGCTGGTGTCATGCACTGTCTCGGCTTGTAAATAGCTCTCTCACTTTAGGCACGCACGTTAAGCGCTACTGGCAAGTAGTAACTATCCGGTATTCGTTTTAAATAGCCGAAGTACAGCTTGTATTTCGTGTACTAAGCTCAACCTCCGTATTCGCAAGATTAGCAAAATCTATCAGATCTTTCGTCGTTGCTTCGAAGCATGATAAACGGCTAATGGGCAGGTGGATGGCAACGGCTGCGAAAACCACACCTTTCAGGCGAAAATGTGTGCGCTAGCAAATTCCTCTTGACTTCCCATATCTAAGACTCTTTGAAACGTAGATCCATGACATAAAATCACGTGTGTATTTTCGGATTAACATAAATGAAGAGATCCACTCCCGTAATCCTGATTTGATTGACAAGCGGTCTTAATTTTCGATATTCTTGCGGGATCGATTGTAATCAGTTTACATGTTTTACATTATTAAATTTTGCTTCACTCGCGCGAGATTGGCTCAAGGTTCACTGGTCGTGTGTGTTTTTATCACTAAACAGTGACGTCAGTGTAGTATGCCATTGCTTTCTAAAAGTGATTAAGATTAGATGGGTTTTGCCAAACCTGTCTGTCGGCGAAACTGCGAGCAAACAAAATGGTAACTGTAGAATCAGTAGGGAAAGGCACCCCACCTGACAAAGACGTCGGTCAGAATGCTATTATATATATATATATATATATATATATATATATATATATATATAATATATATATCTACTATTCCTTACACAGAACGCGTAATTAATAACTGTGGGGTATGGGTATTGTTGCAAATATCCTCAGCAATACGTGCACGTACATCGCTTGGTGGGAGCGGCACAGAGTTCTAATAATATATAATAATAATATAATAATAAATATATAATAATAATAATATAATAGTAATATTGCGCAGTTGATATCTATTATAGCGGTGTAATGTATGTGCGCGCACCGGCAAATGTGTGCGTGGACACGTGCGTGCATGTCTTTCCTGTGTGTTCGTGCCCGCGTGCGTGCTCGCGTGCGGGCATGCGTGCGTGGAGTGTGCTGGTGTGCGTATAGTTAGTAAATAAAATATGTTTATCTCAAGTGTAATCTTTATTGTAGGTCTCTAACTATATTACTCCACCTGTAACACTGCTGTTTTCTCTCTTGCAGATTCATGATGGTACTCATATGCCTTATATTCAGTGTTCTTTCAACGATAGACCAATACGAAAATTTTGCACAGAAATCTCTATTCTGGATGGTATGTTCATTTGCAGTTGTTTATTGTTACGTTCTTCCAGGTGTGAAATTGGCTAATCGATCTAAAGCAACATCATTCTTTCATATATGATTTCATCAGAAGTAGGCCTACTTGAATAGAGTTTTATTTTTATTCTGATTTATTACTTCTGCTTTTTATGCAGTATCGTGTTATAGGGTTGTAGAGCTGCTGACTACTTCATGAAACATTTGCTTTACAATATTCTGTCATATTATATGTAGTGCATTCATTATCTTAGTTGATTATGTATGTGACATAGCCACAGTTGTGTTATTCATGTTATCATGTAATTACAAAACACTCCTGTAGCGGACTATAGTTGCTGCAAGAATGTTAAATCTTAAGAGTGCAAAACATGGAAATAAATTAATAGAGATAGAAGTAAAACTGAAAGAGGTTGATGATAATTTTCCACTAACCATGATTTTCCAGTAACCTGACGCTACTCCCAAGTTTTTTAAATATTTCTCTGATTCCGTTGTGGTACATTAGCAGATGTGTTCAAACAAATGTCACATTGGATTATTAATTCCTTTCATATTTATCCGATTAGCCTGTTTACAAATCTTATTTTTAGATTAATAATTCCAAGTGCTAATAATATTACCTTATTATTTAACAATTATTCAACAAGATTCACCGAGCCTGAGGCGAATAATTGTTTTAGTATCATTGCCCGAGTACTTTACATCTTTGGTACTTTTAGGGACAGCATTTTCTTTAAATTTGTCAATTTCGGCTTCCGTAACATTTACAAATCTAGCCGCCATTTTTGGCGCCACTACAATGTAAATCCTAGAGGTGATTATCGAAAAATAATCACCTAGGTCTCGACCAATCAGCGCGCAGGATTTCCTATAATCACTCGGGCGATGATACTAATAGGTATTATTAGTTCTTGATAATTCTCGTCCCATTAGCGACTGAGCAGACTTAACAGCTATCTAGACTGAGTATGAGAACGCTTCCCCTGCAGGGCATTTCTCACTACACAGCAGGGGCGGATCCAGAGGGGGGGTCGAGGGGGTCCGGACCCCCCCTTTATACCACAAAAAATAGAAGAAGCATACACGCACGCACGCGCGCGCGCGCACACACACACACACACACACACACACACACACACACACACACACACACACAGTCACACACACACAGACACTTCTCTTATATTGTCTCCATAAAAAAATCTTGTTTAACGCTAGTTTTTCTGATAAAGATTTACTTATATATATGTAAATTCGTTATAAAAACCTAGAAATGGGCAAAGAGGGGTCCGCAGGCGTCCGGGGGACCGGATCTGATACATTTGTGCATTCTATACATCAAAATTACTGCTCAGATGCTCTCAGAATGCACCAATTTAAAAAAAAAAATATTGGGGAGGTCCCCTAAACCCCCCCCCCCCTAAGTGGCCTTCGGCAGCTTTTTAAAACACCAGAAAAAGTAAGCAGGAAAAGGTGCCCTTTATTTCTTCCTGGACACCCCCTTTTCAAAAATACTGGATCCGCCCCTGACACACTACGATTACATTCAAGCTATCTTAATTCTATGTATTTGTCTCCGCCCCACCTGTTTTTCTGCGTCTGTGTATAACACAGATCACAGAAATGGGGATTATATGACATTTTGTCAATCGCCCACACGTGGTTACTTTCTCACGGCGGTTACTGAAATTATATATGGTTGGTGGCTGGACCGCTAGGTGCTGCCACCTTGTGATAGGTAATGACATATTCCGCGTTGATGTACGAAATATCAATCGGGGTCACCAGTCTGGCTCTGATATGAGCGATTCATACATGTTTTTACGGACATGTTTGATTTCCACTACTTGCGAAGCATGTTTACAATTTTAGCATGTTTAAATTTTGTTATGATATAGTAAGGTTTAACGTATAGGTTTATTGCCAGATTTCACACCTGCGCAGAACCGTGTGAAAAACGTCTTTGCCTATTAACTTAGCGCGTCTAGACACCAACAAAAAACCACTGTATAGCGATGTTTCATGTTTATAAACATTGACGTCATATGCGCACATGCGCAGTTTAACGGTTGGCAGCAAGCAGATGCGTGGTATTGTTAGATACAAGCACACGCACGCACGCACGCACGCACGTGTACGTACATACGCACGCACGTGTACGTACACACGCACGCACGCACGTGTACGTTCACACGCACGCACACACTCATGCACGCACGTGTACGTGCACACGCACGCACGTGTACGTGCGCACGCACGTGTACCTGCACACACACGCACGTACGCACGCACGCACACATGCACACACGTGTACCTGCACACACACGCACGTACGCACGCACGCACACATGCACACACGTGTAGCTGCACACGCACACACGCACGCACGCACAGCGGGTTTCAGCTAGTACATATTAAAAGTAGAAACAATTAAGAACTATTTAAGAACCTTTTGAGCCTAATTTTTCAGTAAGCACCATTTATATAAGAACATGTTGAGGCTAACTTGGAAAAATCTATGTTCTTATACGCGGGTTTTTACTGTAGCGTACGTTAGTTCTAGAGCTATCTCTGTCACAGCGCCGTTTCTTATGTATATGATAGAACGTAACCTAGCAACTGCAACACATGTTTGTAGTTATCTGCCAGCTGACTGCCTGCTGTCCTCCGCTATTTAGCGGAGGCATAGCGGAGCGTTCGTGAAACAGGAGTTGTCCGTTCGCTAAGTTCTCCGTTTTGCCTCCGTTCGCTAAAGAGCGAACGGAGAACTTAGCGGAGAACTTTAACGGAGCTTTGTGAAACGCGCCCCAGGCCCGTAGCTATAGGGGATGGGTCCGATGTCGGAGGGGTCGAACGACCTTCCTGTTTATCAGATAGTGGTCCGATTTTTCACGGCAGTTATTTTTCCAATTATCCATCTAAACGTGTTATAAACTATTCATAATTACCATTTTCTTCAGTGAACTAAATAATGCATACGCATTTGTTGTACATACCGAATTAAGAGGTCTAAGCAAAAAAATGGAGAGAGATATAGGCCTACTAGTTAGGATTTCGTTTGCTTATAGCTAGCTGTCAGGGACGACCCGTGTGACGAAACTCCTATAGGCCTACTATTGTCTTTAGTCAAGCAGCCGCGTGATTTCCAATCGAAACGATTTGGCAGTCTGCCAGTATGCAGGCAATCTAGTCATATCAAGAACTAATAATGCCTATTATTATTATCATTATTGCGTATTCTTAATAATACCTATTATATTAGCGAGGTATTATTCGCTCTTGATGGTAATACATCAAGGAGCTGCTGCAACCATATCTTATAGCGCACATGTTCAAAAAAACAAAAAGAAAAGTACGAGTCCGAGATAGAAATATAATAATATAGCATTATGTATAACGTTATCAAATGGCAAAATACCAGGCGTACTGTGTGTAGATATAGAATATATAATGCCAGGCTACATAAACTCATCCCTATTAGCAATTTCACCTTCTCAGATATGCTGCGTATGATGCAGGTCTAAACATTGACAAAATAGTATGATGAGATCATCATTGAGTGAGGAGAGGCTCTCTGCTCTCGCCATGATACAAACGCACTATGACACGTATCATGTAGATCTAGAAGAGGCTGTCAACATCATCACCATACTCCATTCAATGAAACTATACCCAGACAAACTGCACCCAAACATCATACTATGACTTACGGTAGAAGCTACTGTCAGTTCTAGGGAGTTTTTCATGCTTGGCTTTATTTCATATGAGGGTGACAAAGACTTCTGAACATGTTTATGTGTTCCGCAATGCACTGATTATACGTGCTTTGACCTCGTCGGGGTTGTACATCATTGTACACATAGTTTATTCAAAAGTAAAAGATTCTGAAGGTATTTATAGGGTGAATCTGTGGCATTGTTGCGTTCATGCAGTACACTGACTAAGTTGGCTGGCTCCAAAGGTCCACCTTCTGACGAAAAAGACCCATGCCTCTTGGAATGCTCGCTACGCGGGGCTATAATTAATACTCAAGATGTGTGCGTGTGCATGTGCATGTGCGTGTACGTGCGTGCGCGCGTGTGTGTGTGCGTGCGCGCGCGTGTGTGTGTGTGTGCGCAAATTCAGTCTTGGCAGGACTTCCTTTGTCCTTGCAGCATTTAATATATCTTTATTACCATTGGCGATCAGCTTGTTGGTAATTTATCTGGCGAATAGGAATTTCTATAGCTAGGCAGAAACGTATGTCTGTGTTCTCTTTCAGCCTTTACCCGGTGTCTCGAACATTTCGTTGCAAACATATTTTCCTATAATAAATTCCCAGTTTCCTTGCTCATGCTGTAGGGAATTCTAGGATCTGGGTTTGCCTTGAAAGTTCAGCAGAAGCAAAGACAGAAGCATTTCAACAGACAGATTCCAGCTGCAGCATCTCTCATACAGGTCTGTCAAATGTGTTTACGTTTATCCTAGTGAATAAATCTTGTTCGGAGTGGGAGTGGGAAAGCGACAGTGAGAAAGACGAAAGGAGGGAGACAGAGCAAGAATTAAAGAAAAAAAGGGAAGGAGAGAGAAAAACGGAGTGAGTGAAGGAGAGAGAAAAACGGAGTGAGTGAAATAGAGAGAAGAGAGAGGGGAGGGGAGAGAATAGGAGACGAGTGGGAAAGGAAGAGTGAAGAGAAATAGGAACGGAGAGACAAACATACAGGGTGGGATGCGGGAGAACGAGGAACGAGTAGTGAGGCAAATAGAGGAGGAATGAAGAAAAACAGGAGACATCATCTTATGTGTGTGCGTACGTGCGTGCGTCCGCGCATGTGTGCAAGTGTATGCGTATAAAATGACTTATGCCTATATCTATAGAGAATGTATACAGAAATAGCGGAATACAGTGAAAACGTTTGTGCAAAATTATATTGCGGCGTTCTTTTGATATGCTGTCAACCCGTTTTATATGTAATTAACATGTGTCATTTAACATTTAACATTAATTAGCATTATCCAAAACTACGTGTGAACGCTGTTTAACTCAAGGTCACGCTATACGCGTACCGTACGGAGTCCGTAAGATACGCGTTCGAAACTGCGTTTTACGGTACGTGTGAACGCGCTATAGGTGATATCAGGAGCGTATAATGACAAATATATTTGTCATTATACGCTCCTGGTGATATGGCGCTAGGATGACCTAGAAGTACTCGATTTTTATCGCTTTATATCTCGGCATAGGAACATCGTAGAGACAAGCGCGGTTGATCTTATATTGGCTAGCTATGACTCCTGCATAATATTCCGGTAGAGAAGTATCAAAATAAGGTAGGTAAACTTTATTAATTTTGCTGAAACGACACCATGGTTTTCCTATTTCAGCATTGTACGCTCTGGGGTTAATGGGCTCTTGATATCAGTGATTTCTTCCCCTTGTTGTGGAAAATAACAGTAGTTCTCACGATTTCTCTGCAGGAAATAGTGCTTGTGTCATTCTTCGGGGTAGAATACTCAGTGCGCATATGGTCCTCGGGGTGTAGAAGCAAATACATGCATCTGAAGGGTCGCATTAAATTTGCCAGAAAACCGATATGTATCATAGGTAAGTTGTTTTACTCAAAATGCGCTTAATTTGGTTTCCACCGGGCAGTCCTGCTACATTAAGGTAAATGAGCCAATGGACTACTATAGCGGACTGAAGACTATAGTATCAGGATACTATAACGTTCAGTCAACTGTTAACTATTTATAAAGAAAAGCTACCAATGTACAAGCGTCGTAACAATAGTGATAGTACAACATGTAATTACTTATATATAATGCTGACTATTATGGTTCACACAGGTATAGCAGATAAGACTTACCTGGTTAATATTCCTGTAATTCCAACCATGTAACCAGCGGTTTCAATTCGATTGCAATCATTCGATTGATAATCGATTCAAATCTGCATTGTCTGTCTCTGATTTCGCTAATTTTGATCGTCAGCTCGCGTCGACCCTGCTTCATCCCGGCGTCCTACTCTCTTAATTCCCTAAAAATTCAATGCTGAAATGGCATGATGGCTGAATGGGCTGAGTGTGTGCTTGAGATTGTATTCCGAACGCAGTTCCTCAGCAGTACTGCCCGGTGTGTAAACCAAACTAAGCGCTTTTTAATTGATAATCTCTCGTTCTTACCATGCTGTCTTGTATTCTTCTACAGGAGATTGTATTAGTATCGTTCCTGGGTTTGGAGTACCTAGTGCGACTATGGGCGGCTGGATGCCGCAGTAAATATATGCGCGTAAGAGGGAGGTTGAAATTTGCAAAAAAACCTATAGCCGTACTGGGTAAGAGACCTGTTCGTGTTTTATTTGTTTTTTTTGTTTGTTTTTGTAACTTTATAACTTGAGTGTGATCGTCACGCGTCAATATGTCTAGCATGTAGGTCGTGTGTGGTGTTTGCAGTGGAGGAATGGGCAAGTGTGTGTAGCGCTGGTTGCTTGTGTGCTAGGCAATGTTGTGCTTGTTACAGCTTTTATGCAGCTTAAGTAAGAGTCAGACCAAAAGTAAGCTTAAGTAACCCTGGCTATTGTAAATGTGAGGTGTTCGTAACTTCAACGTAAATTGTAGGGGGGAATAGGAAATGTCGTGTAATGCCGTAGCAGCAGAATGTTTCACGATACGGATCCAATAGCACCTGCAATAGGACCCTTTTTGTTTTATCTTAATTTTGTGGGGCTGGATCGCTATAGCCACTAGCCATAGTATATTGCATAACGGCATAATGTTGTCAATTTCTACACCTATGTGGATTCATATGCATTTTGATGGTGACTGTGTTGTATGTTGTGATTAACAATGTAATGGAATTCTAACATGACGACGTAAAATAGATTGATGGCTTAACACAAATGTGCTATATAATAAATCCATTGGTGAGTTTACCAAATGGTAGAATATTAAGCTACATGTAAATTGTAAAGAGATATTGGAACTACAATGTTCGATCTACGTTTTTCTGTGCTCATTCTGACAACATTTAAAGTTGTCGTATTTATTATTTTCGTATTTATTATATCACTTTTAAGGTCGTATTCTGCGGATATTATTGTTGCTAGTTTGCTCGAGTCAAATTGATTTATAAGTGAAATTCTAGAGTTGTATATTTAGGATATTGATATTCATGGTATCAATACTATTAATAGATGTAATTAGGCCACTATTGCCGTATGATTTACAGGGACACATCTATCTGCTATATATTTCTACAGCAGCTGCTCTACATTAAACGGATATGATATTTATTGTTGTTTACTTAGCATGAATGCTTTCTAGCTATTTTGACGAGATCATCACTTTTATAACAAAAGTTTGCATACGGAATATTTTACAATTCTCCACATTAGTAACAATTTTAAATAAACTGCTTTACTATAGTTACTTTTATATATTTATGATGGTAAAATGTGTCAACGAATATTCAGTGTTGGTTCATAAGTTGTAGAAATGGTTATAATTGCGAAAATGCCCTGCGTTATTTTTTGGGACTTGAGGTTCCATTCAAATTGATAATACATTTCTGTGATTTTCCCGTTGCAGATTTAATCGTGGTGATTGCCTCATTGGTGGTTTTGGTGGTTGGGTCTAAGGGGCAGGTGTTTGCAACATCGGCTATCAGAGGAGTCCGATTCCTGCAGATCTTGCGCATGTTGCATGTTGACCGGCAGGGAGGAACGTGGCGCCTCCTGGGATCAGTCGTTTTCATTCATCGTCAGGTACTTGCACGATGCCAATGTGTACGTGGGAGGAGAGAAAAACGCAGCGAGTGAAAGCTGAATGTGTATAAGCCTCGTCTACACGACGAACCTTAACTCGAGTTAAGCTAACTCGAGTTAAGCGTTAACTCGAGTTAGCGATTATGTAGCGTCTACACGACGAACCTTAACTCGAGTTAAGCTAACTCGAGTTAAGCGTTAACTCGAGTTAGCGATTATGTAGCGTCTACACGACAACACCCGAACTCGAGTTAAGCTAACTCGAGTTAAGCGTTAACTCGAGTTAGCGATTATGTAGCGTCTACACGACAACACCCGAACTCGAGTTAAGCTAACTCGAGTTAAGCGTTAACTCGAGTTAGCGATTATGTAGCGTCTACACGACAACACCCGAACTCG